CACACACACACACACACACACACACACACACATAAATAAATAAATTTTTTAAAAATTTAGAAAATTAATTATTGATAAACTCTTAATGGGTGAAGAAATGTCACAGGTGCAAATTTCTTGAAAAAGTTCACTTTTTAAAAACTTATTTAGGGTCAGCAATAAATGCATGCAAGTGATATGGAGATTGTTATTGAAAATTACCTGAAACAATGGGTGGCACTTTGGCCATAAAAAAAAACCAAACTCAATATGACATTTTGCACAGTCTGCACAAATAAGCCACCATTATGCATAAAATTTTTAAAGAAATTTATGAATATATGAGCTAGAGAGATAGCTTGGCGGTCTGAGCGGCTGCCTGGCAAACAGAGGAATCCAGGTTCGATCTCCAGTACTGCATGCCATGCTGAGCGCGGTGTGCAGGCCACTAAATCTGGGCATGGTGGTGCACACCTATAATCCCAGCCCTGGGCAAGCTAAGAAAGGAGGATCGCTATGAGTCCAAGCTGCATAGCAAGACCCTGTACCAGGATCTCAGGATAAATCCTGAGGAGATTTCGCTGACCTTATCAGACCCAAAAGCTACATCTCTTGTTGCATAGGTCTTGCTTTACCTTGGTCTTAGCCATCCAGCAGAAAAGTATAAAAACGAAATATAAGAAGTAAAGCCATGCTGTTATGTTCAGCTGTAGGGGACTCAGGTCAACGATTTCTGACATTGCCAGTCAAGCAGGAGACCCAATACTATTATGGGCTACTGTACTCTTTTAGAAAATTTTGCTGAGTTTACACATCTATAATATTCAAATAATGGAACTTAACAAAAAAGGGCATACAGGTGAATGTCCATTTTGTATCTGTATATTCAAAGTGGTTAGGATAGGGCCTGGAGAGATAGCTCAGTAGAATAAGCACTTGTCTGGCAAGCGCAGGGTCCTGAGTTCAATCCCCAGTAACGCAAAAAAAAAAGGAAAATATCAAAGTGGTTAGGATAGATATATAGTTACATTCTCTTAATGAATAGAGGGATTTGTTCTAATAATGTTTGTAAATAAGATATCATGTCCGCATCTTATACAGCAATTAACCACTAGGAAGAATGTATGCAATGTGTTAATTATTGAATCTGTTCTACCAAAAAAAAAAA